TTAGCGGTTCCAAAGAGTTTGGAGGGAATTCCACTCTGATAGTGTTAATATTTTTCGATCAGCTTTCAACCACATTAAGGCACTTTCACACTGGCTCATTGTTATTTTAGATTTCTGGGTTTTTATTACAAGTCTGAAAGATTTTTTTTTCAACGGCATGTAGTGCTAGAAACTAACAAAATGCAAAGTAGCATATAGTTCTCTGTATAACCCCTGGATTACTTGGAAAGACGTTACCGTCTGCTTTATGTCTCTCCACATTTCATGGGGCACGTGATTATAAATTTATTTATTTTATATACAGCCGTGATAAAGATAGGTAACATTGTAATAACATTGATTGGCCAATTACAGCAATTATTCAAAATAAAAATATGGGAACCGAAAAAAAAATTGAAAATAATACACAACTGTTGCAAATAGTGAACATGGACAAGAAGATGTCTATTTCATGTCTTTCAAGGAACCAAACTGGCGTTACTACCATAGTGTAGAACTTAAGAGACATACAGTGAACAGGTAATATCAGAAATACTTGAAATCCGATAAGGTATTCAACTATGGTCTATGATCAACAAGCCTTGGAAGTTACAAGGCAACAAGTCATTAGAACACAAAATAAATTTTACTCTTCGTAACTAAAATACATGAAATGGTACAAGAATTACTGATTGGTATTTCGGAATTGAGAACCTAAATCCTTATTGCAAGGTTTGGAATTAGAACATTGGAAGAGGAAACGTCTAGTCATAATCAGTAGATGCGATTCTAACTAATAACAAACGGAGAGCGGAAATATTCTAAGCTTGACTTGTGAGGATGTAATGAATCATGATAGGCCTTCTCCGCCTCCGCAACGCGTGTCGTCATAAACATTTTTTGTTTGATCAAAATATACATGCTGTGAAAATACTGTTAATGTCTCTCACATTGGGTTCGATAATAATACATTATGAATTTTACAATAAATGTCTAGTTCAGATCATCGAGTATTATTGTGAGATTTTTACATTTTGAAATGCGCATGTGTGTTGGGGTTTCTTTGTTTGTTTCTTAGACAGACATAAAATAGACATCTTCTTGTCTGTGTTCACTAAATTGCACCAGTGTGTATATTTTCAACTTTTTGTTCGACTTCATGATTTTTAATTATTGCTGTAATTGGCCAATCAGTATTATACAGTGTTACCACTCTTTATCACGGCTGTATATAAATATAAGGGGCTCCCCGAAGTATGCGAACCAAGATGGCGGACATCGAATGTAATATGTGTACTAGGTTAGGGTTAGCCATAATTTTAGGTATAATACTACGGGAGGCTCTTGGCTAGTCTTCGAACTGATAATAGACTAAAATTAGGGAAAAATTGGTAAAAATTATCGCCTAACCCTAACCTGTTACCCCATGTTACGTTCCGATGTCCGCCATCTTGGTTCGCATACTTCGGGAGCACCAAAAATAAATCTATATCACGTTCCCCATGAAATGTGGAGAGACATAAAGCAGACGTAACGTCTTTTCCAAGTAATTCCAAGCACGCCATAATCGAGGAATTGTTCATGGTAATTCATATCTGCGGAGGAAAACAAATGATTTCATATATCCTTAGCTATTCAAACTATTTCTTTTATTCGTTTCCTGTTCATTAGAATCTTGTCTACCAAATATGGATTGATAATTCTACTTACAATGTATGAAAAAAATTGCGAAAGTGTGCAATGGATTCATCAAGAACAAAATCAAAACAAATGAACAACGTTAAATTTCTCCAGTATAATATTGTAATATTCATATACTATAGTGCACAATAATTAAAATGGGGGAGAGTACATTTGTACCCGTTTTCAAGCGCAAAATAAACCTAAGACATTTGCACATCCAATTTTACACCCACTAACATCTGTAGGCACGAACATTTGCACCCAAAGAATGTTTTGCGTGTAAAAAAATACCACGAAAGCTTTGATAATCAGTAGAAATGGACTAATGTTTCACTTTGGTCTTCGTGTCCATATATTTGAGCACCGCTATACAGATTCTAAATATCATTCTGACTATTTGCCGTGACACATTGTGTTGTTTGAACATTTTCTTTTATTGCTCTAAAATTACACAAAATGCTTTTCTTTTCTATAATATGGGCCCGGTATCTTTTTGCAATATATATATATTTCACTCTCGTGTCAGTTTTGCGATATTCATACTAATTATTATTTGCTTGTATTATTTCAATTCTTTACAATACACATGAGTCCAAATCATATTTAAGTGATCCAATTTATCTGTCTATGCCGACCAATAATCTGGCATGTGGGAATTTCCCCACATGTCGCTTCTTTGTTGTGGTTTTTGGTGAACGACCTCTGCCACTGAGCTCTGGAATTTGGTTATTTGTAAGAGTCTATTTTTTCATTTCATTTTTTTAACTTATATTTGGAGTTATGGTCATATAAATAGAATAAATTGTGTGTAACTGTCGGAACAAACTGACCCAACGATGTCCATTGATGCAAAAAAAAAAGTTAAAACAACAGAGGTTGGATGGTGTAATCGGGATCAGGCTTTTCAAGTTCACACTATATTACTTTATACCCATGCTTTGGTAATAGCACCAGTTACCACCAAGTTATAACCTACACTACCCAGCGAAAGTTTTGTGTGTGGTTTTATAGAGTGGTTTGCGGAATTCAACGAGAAATTTGGGAATTATGTCAAGTGTTGGAGGTTACAGACAAACGTTGTAGGTTTACCGTAGAAGCGACGAAACTGATCAATGGTCATTTAGACACAAAATAATTTTTACTCTTTGTAACTAGAATACATAATATGGCAAAGAATTACTGATTGGTATTTCGGAATTCCTTGTATTTTTCTCGCAATATTTAGAATTAGAACATTGGAAGAGGAAACGTCTAGTCATAATCAGTAGATGCGATTCTAACTAATACCAAACGGAGCTTGAAAATATCTCCAATCGGTATAGCTTTCCTCCAAAATGCATGTCGTCACAAACATTTTTTGTTTGACATACATACAAATAGAATAAAATATGTCAAATTGCTCAAATAATCAAGTACACTATATGCATATGTCTCCGTAGTCTCCACTAGGTAGTAACTCCAGTTTGTTTCTTAGACAGACTTGAAATAGACATCATCTTGTCCGTGTTTACTAAATTGCACCAGTGTGTATTATTTTCAACTTATTTGTTTGAATTTTATGATTTTTAGTTTCGCATAATTGCTGTAATTGACCAATCAGTATTATACAGTTTTACCATTCTTTATCAAGGCCGTATATAAATATAAATCTATAATCACGTGCCCCAAGAAAATGTGTAGAGACATAAAGCAGACGGTAACGTCTTTTCCAAGTATTGCACGCCATAATCGAAGAATTGTTCAGCATGGTAATTCATATCTGCGGAGGAAAACAAATGATTTCATATATCCTCTGCAATTCAATCTATTTTTTGTTATTCATTTCCTATTACTTAGAATCTTATCTTCCAAATATAACTAGATGTTTCCTCCTACAATGTATTGAAAAAAATGCGAAAGCGTGCAATGGATTCATCGCGAACAAAATATTGAACCAAATGAACAACGAAAAATCTTTTCAATATATCTTTGTAATATTCCTTTCTAACAGATTCTAACGATAATTAGGTGGAATGAAATCACACTTTCGCCTACGTACATTTACAATCGTAAACTGCAATTAGGACATTTGCACATGCCTATTTTCCCACTCACCAACGTCTGCACGCACGGACATCCGAACCAAACGAAAGATTTTTTTCACCCCCGCTGCACACAATTAAAGTGTTGCGAGTGGAAAGGATAACAAGAACTTTAGGAATTAGTAGAATTAGACTACTGCTATACTTTGGTCTTCGTGTTCATATATTTGAGTACCGCTATCTTGTTTCTGATTATTATTCTAAATTTTTATTCTTTGACATAATGTGTTGTTTGAACACTTCCTTTTATTGCTATAAAATTACACAAAATGCTTTTGATTTTCTATAATCTGTGCCCGGTATGTATTTCATCTTTTATTTAGCTAATATTTGGAGTGATGGTCATATAAATACAATAAATTGTTTGTAAGTGCGGAATAAACTGACCCAATGATAACCATTGCTGCAAAACAACAACGGTTGGATAGTGTATTTCAGTATTTGAGATTGGGCTTTTGAGATTTTTATTGTTAACCTCACATTAAATCTCAAAATATTACACTATACTCATAGTTAGGTCATTGCACCAGTTACAAGCTAATATTCACTCTACCTAACAAAAAGTTTTGTGTGTGAAGAAGCCATTGAGTGGTTTGGAAATACAACGAAACATTTGGGAATCATGCCAAGTGTTGGTTCGTTGGAGGTTACAGACAAACGCTGTAGGTCTAACTTAAACGCGACGAAAGCTGACCATATGTCTCTAGGACACAGATTAATTTTTGCTCTTTTGTAACCGGAATACATGAAATGGTACAAGAATTGCTGATTGGCATTTCGGAACTAAAAACCTTGTTTCCGTCTTGCAATGTTGGAAATTAGAATATTGGAAGAGGAAACGTCTAGTCATAAGCAGCAGATGCGATTCTAACAAATAACAAACGGAGCGTGGAAATATTTCTAAGCTTGAATTGTAAGGATGTAATGAATCGTTATAGCTTTCCTCCGAAAGACAATTCATCATAAACATTTTTTTGTTTGATCGTAGCTGACAATGCCTAAAAATACTGTTAAATTCATACTGTTAAAGTATCTCACATTGGGTCGGTAATAATTGTTTAATATTGGCTCTCCCAATTGTTACCTTCTAATGTTAAGTAATTTATGAATACAATGTATTTTGATGTTTTTACTACATAATGATATGGAAGCGTGATATGATCATTAACAAATAGGTTAAAATGTATCAAATTTCCGCAATAAACAAAGACACGATATTCATATGTCTCCGTAAAATCCACTAGATGGTAACGCCAGTTTGTTTATCAGACAGACATGATTTGGCTAAGATCAAGTGTAGTATCTGTTCTTTTCAGATTAATACATGAAATGTGGGGTACTCCCCCACTCTTGTATTAATTTGATTTTTGAAACTCAGGGTTTGGCTTTGTGGCTTGCCGCACCAGTCCCACGGGTTGTCCTGGTATTTCAGTACCTCCAGGTTCGGCCCACAAAGAAATGAAAAAAATAGACGTCTTCTTGTCCATGTTCACTAAATTGCACCAGTGTGTATCATTTTTCAACTTTTCGTCCGATTTTTAGTTTTGAATATTTGCTGTAATAAGCCAATCATACAGTGTTACCATCCTTTATCACGGCCACATACACGATCGAATCTATAATCACATGTCCCAAGAAAATGTGGAGAGACATAAAGCTGACGTCGGTGGCGTCGTTTCCAAGTATTTCACGCCATAATCGAGGAATTATTTATGATAATTCGCATTCGCAGAAGAAAGAAATGATTTAATATATCCTTTTCAATTCAAACTATTTCTGTTATTCATTTCCTACTAATTAGACGTCTGAACGTCTGGTATCGGTAACGTGATATACATATACAGTCAACAATATGCATATACCACCAATTCATGTACATATAGCGCCAGCTATAGATATGTATATAAATATTTAAGTTAGTGGTTACCGCAGAATTAACAGTGACGGTCTGACCCTATATCGATTCATTAAGCATGAAACAGGAAGAAAACTATGACTCAATTTTTTTCAACCAAACCCCTTTCCATGGCACTCAAACAAGACCTCCAATTTCAAGCAACCGTCCAACGTAAACAAATATGTTAAAATATGTTGAACGATACCTGAGGGAGTTTATTAAATCAAGTTTTTTTTTTATCCTAATCATTTCCTGGACTATGACATTTCATCAAGCGATTACAAGATTTCATAATATATATATATACTCATGCCAATAAATGTTTCCTCACGAATGTTGCCTCTTAATATAAATATTACATTGACTTCAATTTTGTCATTCCGGGGCACTTTTGTCATTCCGGGGCAATTTTATACGTCTATTTTGCAATTACTTGTAATTTACCAGAAGTAAATAATCCTTTTTCGATCAATAGCTCTTACGGAGTACGCGTATTGAAGCACTAATTATATGAGCAATTAGCTGTTGTGGATCATTATGATTTATAACATTGAAACTTCTTATCGGCCTGGAGCCGCGGATTTTTATCTATCGTAATGTGCATGTAACTTGTGGAGGCAACCGCATACACAGTGTATACATACATTGAATGCACATGAAATGCATTGGCAATATTTGTATATCACCCAAATGTATTCATATATTAGGTTCGCTGTGTATGCATATGACTTTGGCAGTATATGAATATTTGGTTGGCTGTACAGTATATGTAAATGCGTTGGCGGTATATGCATATTCTTGGCTGTATATGTACGACACATTACCAACCCTATCCAAATAAATTGACTCACTCATCTGCAACAAAATTCATTAAAATAGGTCTCTGCAACAGGGTCTGTATAATCTATGTTTTTTTTTTATTCAACCAAGGTATTTCTGGTATTGTCCCGTACGTTGATCACCACTTACATCTACATCCGCTTCGTTTGAATTCGTATCTATTATTTACTTTTTACCGATGCTTTGTAGTTTTGACAACTGTAACTTGTAATAAGTCGATAAGTATTATTCAGTGTTTCCACTTTTTGCGATCAAGCACACATTAAACAGAATAACAGGAATATTGGATGAACCACTGCAATGGAAGTATCGCTGTAACGCACCGATTGGAGTCTCAAACTGCGTTACCGTTTGTGCTCAACCACTGTCAAGTACCATTCCCCGTTCTCTTGCTATGCCAACTTGTAACATTGAGCCAGGGGTGTTTCTAAAGTGGAAAAGGGGAAGCCGTTCAGGGCAGAGCGTTTTGGGGGACAGCAGATGTGAGGCTGATGATTTAACTAATAATACAATTATTTCACTCTTATTTAACCTTCAATTTATTTATTCTCATGTATACCAACATCTATAAATTATTTACTCCCCTTAATCATTATTGTTAGCTATATCGGGCATCATTATCAAAAGCTCGCCCCGGTCACTCTCAATGTCACTGTTGAGCTCTCTCTCTCTCTCTCTCTCTTGCTAAACGACATGCTGCCTAGTGCTATGACTTATGATGTTTATGTTATTTACATAATAAACTCAAGGATCCTGAACAGTTGTGTGTTTACTAACAAACATGAGTGCAGAATCAGAATTCATTTAAAGTTCGAAGAATTCGAAAAATCGCGTTAGTGAGAAATGAATTGCGATGACTGATTCGTCATGGAACAAACCAGATCCTCTAATTTTCGATAAAATTGTTGCTGAAAACTGGAGAATATTCATTCGTGAATATGATATTTTCATCGAAGAATTGCACAGTGATAAAACTGACAAAGCTAAAACTTGCATATTGCCTAATTTTATTGGGAAAGGGGAAGAGAAAAACAAGAATCTT